ATATAAAAAAATATATATATATAAAATCAGCCCCCAGAAAGCTGCTGTGAAGTTACCAGTTTGACAAAAGCAGTGAAGAACATATCTAGCTGGAATGGCAGGGGAATATTTTGAGATACCATGGTTTGACTGAAGCTGGCTATCAGTCATATTAGTGAGATCTACCTTGTAAAATACAGAATCATAGAATGGTTTGGGTTGGAAAAGACCTGAAAGATCATCTAGTTCCAACCCTCCTGTCACAGGCAGTGACACCTTCCACTACAACAGGTTGCTCAATGCACCATCCAACCATTCATCCATCCATGTTCCTGGTCTTGAACACTTCCAGGCATGGACCATTCACAACTTCCTTGGGCAACCTGTTCCAGTGCGTCATCACTCTCACAGTAAAGAATTTCTTCCTTATATCGAACCTGAACATCCTCTTTTTAAGTTTAAACCCATTGCCCCTTGTCCTACCACTACAGTCCCTGATCAAGAGTCCTTCTCCAGCTGCCAAAGAAAAAAGAAAAACCCCAAACAGGAAAAAAACCCCAACAAATCAAACCACAGATCAAGCTTTACCTACCTTTGTCTCTTACCAAAACTACAAGCTAAACCCCTCTCTATCTCAAATGGGACACTTCAGGATCTCTTACTGTAACAGGAAAGCAAGGGTGAATTCCCCAAACTGGAGGTGGTAGATGTGTTTAGGATATGCACCAAAAAGAAAAGTGACATATCAGATATATCATGTGTATAATTCAGAATATGGGGCTGAAATAAGATCTTGCCTCTCCTGAGGAAGTAACCTTACTACCTGAAAATAGGAAGTTCAGAGGTGGTTTTCCTTCAGTCTGTCCTTTGAGCTTCTTCTGCATGTAGCATATATAGAATATACATATAAATACATAACATAGCCAGTGCTACAAGAAATGACTGTTACCATTCATAAAGTCACAGTATATTTGGGAAAAGACTTCCAAAGGTCTTCTGGTCCACTCCATCCAACTAAAAGCAGGGCTAGCTTCAGTGTTCATCTGAGAGATTACAGGGTTTCAGCCTCTGCTCCAATAAAGTTTTAATTCTTTATACCAGTTTAAGAGAGAAGAAACCTCACTCCTTCCATATATCCTAAAGGATAGCAGCAAAAGATGCATGCCTCATCATTTGCAGATGATTTAAAGATGGTCCACACAGATATTTTCTCAGCAAGTTTACTAAAAAGGTTTACCCAAAAGCATCCCAGTATTTGTTTTCTAGCACAGCAGAAGCAGATTTCTAGATCATGGAATGACACATGCTCCAGAATGGTTCCTCTCCTGTTCTTCTTCCACCTCCTGCTGCTGCCAGGCACATGCTTTGGAGGTTTATCACTAAGCACCCTTAGCAGTGTGGCAATTTCTGCTTTCCTTAGCCGCCTCCTCACCCAGCATATCTAGGTTGAGGTGAGCACATCAGGTAAATGTGGTGACATGCAGCAAGTCTCCAAGAGAGCTATGCAGCAAAGCAGGGGCTGGCACGAGAAGATGTAGAAAGGAAGCAGGGACACTCCTTCCCTACCTCTCCAAGAGGAACCCAATTTATTTCTAAATCAAAATTGTGCAAAAAAAAGGCATGTTTGCCATGGAAAGTAGTTTATTTTTAGTTTCAACACAGATTACTTTTGATAGGCTTTGCATTCATTAGAGCATACTTAACATTTAAAATACACAAAAAGACACAATTGTTGAGAACAGAAAAGCTTTTAAAATACAGAAGCAGTAAAATGGAAACTTAAGTCAGCTACAGGGCTCTGCTCAGTTCACCTGCCAATTAGGCTCTGCCTTGAAACACAGCGGTTGATGATGTGGTTACTTACATGTAAAAATAAAAGGCAAGCGGCTCACTTTCATCTGTTAATTTTCTTTGCCTGAGAGAGACTGGTACTAAATCCCCTAACCTATTGTCTGCAGCATCTCCAACAGTTCCAACTAAGTACTGCCACTCAATCCAACAGGACCTGAAACAGTTAAGACTCTCTTTCAGCAGAGCCCACAGAGCTTGCTGGAAAGAGTTACTGGAAGCTGAAGTCTGGCCAAAGTTGGTCACCATTTTTTCAAAGCAAAATGATGGCAAGATGTCTAGTTATCACTGCTCCAGTTCTGTCAACTGCTTAAAGCAGCAGCGCTTTCTGTGCCAGTATGCAATTTGGATGGTGAACCAAGACATGAAAACTCAGCATGAAACTCTGTTACACAAAGCCAAACAGCAGGTATGAGCCCATCAAAGACACATTTTAAAGGCACATTTCCTAAGGCACTGGTCAGCCTCACATGGAGACAGCTTTAGATTTATGCCACCGGATTATAATTTGGAAAGTCTGATTTATCCTCGTGGCTCTGTCACAGATTTTCTGTGCAACTTTAGGCAAGTTACCTAATATTCTCATACAGCACTCTCACTGTACAAAACAAAGAAGTAAATTTGTCACTGCTCTCCACATCTGCCCTGTGTCAAGTGGTCAGCAGACTCGGTCCTTGGTGGGAGAAGAAGAGGTGTCCATCCAAGCTACGTATCCCAAATTCTTGTATAGACTATGGGGACGCAATCAATGCAGTGCAGTTTAGATCACAGTTCATCTGCTCTACTTTATGTACCTCCTTAAGGAGTTGTTCAAGTGCTGCCCACTCCTCTCTGCTTTGGTTCAAGTGAGAGCCAAGCAACTAGCTCAGCAGGAGAGTCACGACACAGATGCAAACAAAATGATGGGAGGGGACTCCAAGCCTGTGAACCTGCTCAGTACTTAGCCTTATGACTTTATAATTTTGCCACACCACCTGAAGATGTAAATTCCAAGTGTTAGGCATTGTACAAACAGAGATTGTATCCTTAATATCTTACAATGGAGACCTCAATTTGGTCTGGGGCCTGAGATGCCATCATAACAATGTAATATAGCTGAAGCTTAAGAAATAAGTTAGAATGAGCATCCAGCAGTAAAAATAAGATACAGAAAGTGTCACTTTCTGTGCAGGAAGTATTGCCAATTGAAGATTGAACTCCATGAAATTCTCCCCAAGATCCACACTATTATCCCTGTCCAAGAGGTCTGAATTCTAAGCAGATCACATAAAACTAGAAACAGCTCTTGAATGCAGACAAATTCACCTGTTAATAGAAGGCTGTCATTCATAGTACTCTGAACTAGGGTGCAGAGGTTTTGACAGTGATAACTTGTCATGATTTAATATGGTGCTTCACCTCTGTGCTGAACATATCACAGGTGAGCAAGAAGGGGAGAAAACATGTAAAATATTCCAATGCATAGTCTCATTATACGCTCAAACCCACAATAGGAATTACGCTGAGAGATCTTGCATCAAAAATATTAAGGGTCCTGTCCACATCCTCTCCTGGTGAACCTGGAAATGGGCAGGGAGACAGCAGAGTGCAGAAATATCTTAAGCTACCACAACACAATTTACTAAAGGACATTTGTTAATGCCTCAAGAGACAAGTGCAACTTGCCATAACAACAACAAAAAAAAAAGAAAAGAAAAAAAGAAAAAACAACAAGAACAAAAAACCACCAAACAAAAATCTATGAATTTGAATTGCTTTAACATGTTTCTTGTTTGGGACTGCCGCTATCAGTAATTGCCTGTAGCTATGCAAAGCACAGAGGTTCCTTCTGCTAGATGCAGAGCTGCATTTAGTGTACAAATACCCAAGCTCTACACCAGCCACTAGCAAAAGGGCTTCTGCCTGCTCTAGCAAATCAAGCTGTCTCTTGTGGAACAAAACATCTGAGCACAGAAAACACTTGAACAGGCGAGTTTGACACGACAGCAGGTCCCCCGTATCTGAAGCATACAAAAGCAGACTTTAAAACAATGATTCTTCTGAGGCAGTGGCTATGCAGACAGTATGGAAGGATAATTTTTTACTATCTTATTCTTAGTGGCCAATTTCTCCCATTATTTCTTCTTGGACTGATACAGAACTGTGATCTTACTTTCTTGGGCAGTATTAAACACTCATGGTGCCACTAACATTCCGCTGGCCTTGTCTGGAAAAAAATACTCAAGCAGCTCCACAGGCTTAACTATCACCTTTTAATTTGGTGCCATTAAATACTTAAGTTACACACAAGCAAATACAAAGCATTAGTTGTGAGGACCTCAGTTCTCTCCCTGCATTGTGCCTTCCAAAAAATAAACTTGAGGCATAGTCATTACACGTGTCTTAAGAGCTGTTGTCTGTTGATCGCTATAGGCCATGGAACCAGGCCATCCTGTGAGCAAATTTGGTATTTAGCACTTGGAATGAACAGTTCCTCAACAAAACACTTTTTCTCCGACCTAATAGTTGTGATTTCCTGAGATGAGGGTATGATAAAAGGGTAAATAAACACTGAAGAGATTTTGAAAGTAGCGAAGGACTGAAATGGAACCACCTTGACCTGAGAAGACAACGAGAAAGCAAACGCCAGAGATACGCACTGGGATGTGGGCTTTTTCCCAGACATTAAAAAATTAACTTCTTTAATACTGTTTCTGTCTTCATGGCATATGCGATCTCCAGACAGTAAATATCAGGACAGTTCTTTGGCAGGAACTGTTTGAGAAATTAGAAAGCACTGGTTTGGCAAAATAAATTCAAATTTAGTGAACTGCCCCCCTTTGACCACAGCCCTTAAGCTAATATTATCATATCCCCTCCCACACCCAGTGCCATTATGTCAGCCATAGCGAGGCGGGAGGCAGAGGTTCAGCCAGAGACCACAGTAACTTCAGAGGCTTCTTTCTCCATCTGTATAGCACAGCTACAGAACACAGCTCACACTGCCACAGATGTTGACACAAATGTCCCTTCATGAAGTCCTGGTGAGGTCCTTTATTCAGGCACCCAATCACAACTGCAGATGCTCAGGGCTTTCAGCTCTAATGGAAGGAATTTAGT